CGTGCTCCAGAGCTGGGGTCCCCCCACCCCGATTACTTGGCTCGCACCAGAGGGGAGGCACTGCGGGGACTCCTCGGCTGCAGGGACAGCATCGGAGGGGTGACAGGGGATGCAGGACAGGGCAGCTGAGGACATCTCCAAAGACGACACCCTGTGGGCACGTCCTGAGCAAGCCACAAGCTCCGGGTGGGACACAAGAGGAGCAAGTTGCAAGTGAAAAAATGAGACTCAAAAGGAGAAAGCAGAAACCCTAGAAGACGACAGCTTCCCTTGAAATCCCCAGATGGGAGAAAATGGGCTTCCCACAGCGGGTAGTCCCCAGCCTGCGAGACATCCCCACCGTGTCCCAGACAGCTCCCGCGACACCCGTCCCACGCACAGGAAGAGGGTGGCATCCAGCCACCCACAGAGAAGAGGCGACTGCCCATCCTCCGCCGCTCCCCGGGACCAGGCTCTGGCTCCCACGCCCTCAACACTCCCAATACCATCCAGACCGTGGGCGTAGCACGGGTCCGGATTCCACTGCATGGGAGAGCAATCCCCCGAGGGCCTGGCTGCATGGCGGGAGGGCAAAATGGAGACTTGTCCCCCCCCGGGAAGACACATCCTCCAGCTCACTGCAGAGCCCCGGGGGCGGTGGTTCGCCCAGAGCAGGAGCCGTGCTACTGCTGGAAGCCCCCGGTGCGCTCTCCCACGCTCTCCCAGCCGTACCTGCGCAGGCAGCTCGGCCGGAGGCTCGGCGGCCGGGGAGAAGACGAGGGCAGAGGAGGGCCCCCTGTCCGTCAGCGCCATCTGCGGAGGGAGGCCTGGGTGGGAGGGCTCCTCCAGGGCCAGTATGTCTATGGGGGCCTCGGCAACGTCTCTGAGGGACTGATCGAGGGCCACAGAAGGATCAAAGAGCAGAGGGGACGGGGGACACTGCATGCCATCGCCCACCACGTCCAAGTCCTAGGAGAGAAAACACCGGGAGGGGCTCATCAGCAGGAGGAGCCCCTTGGGAGACAGAAGCACGAGTCCTCACAGCCTTTCTCCGCTACCCCCTCGAGCAGCAGGGCAGGAGCGGGCAGCAGGCTGCTCTGCTGCTTTACGGGCAGAGGAGGAGGAGGAAGGCAGAGCAGTGAGCACCGTGCCACTGGGCCCCTTGGCCTCGGCAGCTGGGAATGCAGCTACGGGGACCTCCTCCAGAAACGGCGTGATCCAGGCTGGGGGTGCCGCACTCCCACTGAAAACAAGGCGTGGGGCACAAGGTCCGGAGCCCAGCGCGATGCGCTGCCCCCGAAGCATCCCTGCAGCAGCCAGGAGGGCTGTGAAAGGGTCCGATCCTGCCCTCCTCAGGACACCCAGAGGAGTCACCCCTCTCCCAGGATTTCACCCGACCCCCTTTGCTCGCCCTGACAACGTATTGGAGTGGACGGTCTCTGGCTTACTCCTCCATCTGCCCTGCTCGCTGCTATCTGCTGCGTGCGTGGATAACCCCGCTGACGCCAGAGGCTGGGATTCCTGTGAGGCTATTGTTAGAGGACGGGGTTTGTTTTGGCTTTGGAGGGTGTTCGACATCAAGGCAAGATGCCTGCGACTCACGAGTGGCACTCCACCAGCCTAGCGTGACGCGAGATAAAACACAGATGCCCTACACAGCCGTACGCTGCTGTAGCTCCGAATCCCTCCGAGCCAAGGACGGAGGGCTCTCGCAGGGTGTCTGCGGTTACATCCACGCACAGCTCGGGGCACAGGGCAGGAGCAAAGCACCCAGGTTCCTGCCTGAAGCACCCAAAACCCTGCACGGGGCGGGGGACACTCTCGAAGGACAGGCTGGGGGAGAGGAACAGTCACGTTTTTCATTTCTGACCTGAAAAAAACCCCCACCTGTCCCACAAAGGCTCTTTTTAACAGAGCGCAGCGTGTTGGCTCTGCCCCGCAGGAAGGAGGGCTGGGATCTGGTCCGATGCCCACCGAAGGCAGGGAGAGTGTTCCCTCGACCCCGGGGGTGCTGGGCCCAGCCTGACCCCACAGCAGCAGCACTTGCTCTCCTGTGTTAACGCTGTGGCTGCTGCCATCCCCTCGACTCCACAGCTGCCGGCCATCCCTCCTCCACCAGCAAACTCTAAAGTGGTTACGAGATTTACCTCCTGATAGAAGTGCTCAAGAACCTCAGGGGCATCCGAATGCTAAAGCAAGTGACGCCTCGTTCAGAGGAGCAGCTCCAAATGACTGCAGTAGATTTTTGTTTAAACAAATTTCAGAGGATTTTAAGCATGCAGGCTTAACATGCATGCAGGACATCAGAATAATCTGGGGATTAAAATCCTCACGTATTCCTCATGGGAGAGAAGAGGGGAAAAAAAATCCTCTTTTTAAAAAGCCCCTAAATACAGGTTTAAATGGGAGCACAGCCCTTCTAAAGGGACAGTCACCAACCCTACAGAAACAAACATCTCCCAAACCTTTC